TAGATTTTGAACTTTTTTATAAACAAATGAGATTTTGTCACAATTATGGTCGTATGCGTACAAGTTTCTGTATAATCCTCTGTAGCTTCGATCTCGTGACACATGCTTCTGAAATTTTGCTTAGACTAAAGAGTAACATGCTATGGACATGATTGTAATAAGCCCCAGGAATCACAAAGTGACGCACCTATCTTCGTATATATATCATAAAATTGCGGGTTGGTCGAATGAATAGCACCAACAGAGAACAGGTTGAGCACGAAAGTCATGCATGCTCCTGATTTATAACATTGCTTTAGAACCAGAGGCGTTGAAACTATTAAGGAGATTGGGGGGGGGGGTCTTAATGGTGCATCTCCCCCCCCCCCCCCCCCCCTAGGGGGTGGGGGACACTGTTTTGAAGAAGAAACTTGCTAACACTTGGCAAGTTTCGCCCTTTTGTCGGATCCTTCTAATGCATCAGCAATACTTTCATACGTCCATTGTAGGTAGGTGCCTACCGTCTAAAACTCACGCTCTTTTTATTTATGTGAGCCCCTGGGCACGACCCTGTTGTTTAAACTTATAATTGCTACAAATATTGTACATTGCGGTCTGTCTTGAATTTAATGCACCAGACTTGGAAATTATATAGAAGATGGTGCCAAAGTGGTGAAGGTATTTCCAAGAATGACATTAAAAACCTGAGAGACCAAGAAGATATTTGGACATCGCCGTTTAATTCCTAATGATGACCACCACCTGCAGTGAGGTCAGCTCGCCGGACGGTCATGGAATCAAAAGAAAGCTAAAAATACGTTTCTGCAGGGCCGCAGGCTTTGATTTCATGACAGAGAAAACAGCTAATGGGTAGTTAAAAAAATGCAACTGATTACATCGTCCAGTAAACAAATGGCAGCACCACGAAATACTTAACCTTTCGCGAACTGTGGGTGCTATAGGATCACGATCCTTGATGCGATACAAAGCTGCCAGTGGTGAGGATTCCAGGTATACCATGCCAGAGAAACGCCTAACTTGGCCCAATTTTGGCAATCCTAGGGTTCTAACTTGGACCTAGCACGGTTTTGCTCGAAAACGATTATTAGTACCAAAGTGCTCTTCTTCGGCTTTTCGATGGTTCGCCACATAATTTTCAAAGTGCCAGACACTTCGTCCGAAGATGCCACGTATCCACCGAACAACCAGGAGTGAAGCCCAACTCTGGCACACGTACGTTTAACGATTTAGGCGCAAAAAGGCCAGATGACTGCCAAACTACTAGGCAGTGAAGATTAACTTTCGCACGTGTTTGGCGATTTAGCCACAAATATGCCAGATGACAGGCGAACTACCGGGCAGTGAAGCTTAAGCTTTGGCACTTGCTTGGCGATTTAGGCACAAAGGTGCCGGATGACAGCCCGACTACCAGGCAGTGAAGCTTAATTTTAGCACTTGTTTGCTGATTCAGGGCCATGATATACCCAGTCTCAGGTCAAAGAAGGCCAAGTTTGACTGTACCCGGCTTTTTTGGGCTCTTCAAACCCTAAATTCCAATACAAGAAAAAACAAATGTGTGACCAAAAGAAGCCAATTACCTGGAATGGTATTTTACGAAAGCGTACTTACGAGCCAAGAGGACGAGGGCAGCTAAAATGGCTGTTTGATTGCAGCCCGTTGGCGGTGGCTCATTCGCGGCTCGAGCGCCTCTACCCATTGCCCCAAGACGACCCGCGGTTGCAAAGCGCGCTAGTTGTTGAGTCAACGTGCACTTGACGGTAGTGGCGACCGACCTGTCAATCGGACTTCTTCGAGTCTCGTCCCTCTGACGGATCAAGAAAACAATGACGCAGCTCTCGAAATGATCCAACTGCGACTCAGGGGCCAAAGCCAGGAACGTACGTCGGGGAGGGGAAAGGGGTGGGAGTGCAGGTAGATACAGCCGAGTAAAGGTTATCTGATTGGAGGTATAAGTCGAGGCAAACGAATTTCGAACTAAGACGAGTGAAGATAGGCACGCCCAGCGCTTTTTTTAAGTTGTCAGTGTCCGTAGCAGCATTACAAATAAAAGGACTAACCTAAAGGTTTTGAATGTTAGGTGGAGTTTAACTGTTTATATTAAAACTACACTCTAAAAAAAAGTCTGTGCGTCTACTTTCACGCACAACACTCGGAGAACCAATCAGCGCAACTTACGGAGACAGCTCAGCGAATGACAACGCCGAAACATCTGTTTAGACCAAAAAACGCAGACTAAGTTGTGACATTAAGCAATGCAAGCGTGACGTTTTGCATTGCTTAATGTCACAACTCAGACTGCGTTTTTTTGGTCTAAACATATGTTTCGGCATCGTCATTCGCTGAGTTGCCTCCGTAAGTTGCGCCGATTGGCTCTCCGAGGGTTGTGCGTGAAAGTAGACGCACATACTTTTTTTAGGGTGTACTGGCTAGGATGCGCAAGCCACTGTCGGTTCGTCAGCTAAATCCGCTAAATTTAGCAGAGAAATTGACATTACTTCATGTATACATAATTTAGTTCGCCCGCTAAATTTAGCGAAACACTTTACCTCACGTGACCTCACGTCACGCAACGAAAAAAAAAATTAGCTGATTTCAGCGGGAAAATGAGTAAACAATGGGTTCTTCTTCACTCCCCGAAACAACTGTTTGATGTCTTTTAAACGAACTTACCGGACCCTTCATAGAATACTACACTCCGTGCATAAAGGACTTTGGGAAATAAAACTCTGTAAACTTTTGTTTTCTTTACTTTGTCAATTTTTTTTTTTTTTTGCTTACCTGCCAGGCTGCCCTAGTATTTGGGACTGCATTGGAAGCGGCGCCACCCAGCGGAGAAGATGTGAAAAAGAAGGGCGAGGAGGTACTTACTGCCTGTTCAAGTGTGCAGGGAGAACTGTCGTGGCTTGGCGACCAAAATGTGAAGCAGAGAATGGGGATTAAGTGCATGGAGTTGGAGCAGCCAGGTTGTGACCGGACAAATACCCTATACTCAGGTCAAATTTGTTGGTTTGAGGAGTTCGAGGTGTACTGCCCAGGCAGGGGTGGATTTAAAGCGGGGAGTAACATTGGTTATGTTTTTTCTTTTTCTTTAATTATAAATTTTTCTTTAATGGCAAATATTCTTTTAACAAAACAGATTTGGGCAACAGTTCGTCCGTGACGTCATGTATAGGTTTGTGATGTCAGATCTCCGCCCAGCCTGACCCATATAACCGCCCCCGAAAACCAGGTGGAATGCAAGCGGTATTATTGCGGTGGTTGCCATTTCTATTACGCGGAACGCAGGGGTCAACATTTTAAAAATATTTAAAACTCTACGGAGAGTTTTTTTTTTTTTTTTGTGACCCATAACATTTTGATCTGTTGCATATGGATATACGCACAAAGGTGTCCTCTTTTTTCTGTAGATATTTTTCGTGCAAAAAGTTCCCGAATCGAGTTAACAGAAGAAGAAAAAGCGAGATCTGAGATGTTTTTCATGAAGTCAAAATAACACATAACAGCGACTCATAAAAAGAGCTATGTAGACTCGTTTCACATTACTCAGATTGTTCACATTTTATTTCTAACGTTGGGAGTACAACTTTTGGTTAAGACACGGGGTCAATTATGGTGGCACCGAGGTACTTTTCTGGTTTTCAGTGATGTAAATATGAATCAATATTTTTGAAGATTGGTCTCCTAAAATTTTAATGTCATGATATGCTACTTTACTGTTCTCACTTTTGCGACTGCTTTCTCATGCGTTGTGCTCGGCACATGGCATCTATACATTAGAACATGTTTAACGAATTTATCGTAAAGTACGGCTAAAAAAAGGAAAAAATATTTTTTAGAAAAAAATAGGGTTGAAACTTGGTTTTCTGGCTCTTTTTTTATTATTAAAGATTGTAAAAACCGAATTTTACAAAAAAAAAGACACTGCAATTAATGGTTTATGGATTGAGCTAGAGCTTGAGTTCTAGCAGTACCATACTAAGAAGCCACCTGGACTTCTTCTACGTTACATCCTTTAAGCATCTTCTTCGGTATTTTGGAGAATACTTAATAACTCTACTAGTTACATGTTAAATTACGAATGGCCTATTGGTCTGTATATTGTCGTGGTCGAGGTCAACAAAGAGCATACATTTTAATTTGGCCATCTTCTTCAGACAGATACTCGATATTTATAATTTAATTTAGAGTTAGGCGTTTTCGACGCAATGTAATGTATTACGGATGTTGCTTTTCAAAGTAACGATGCTAATAAAGATATACTATTTTCCTGAAATATCGCCGTGACATTTCTGTATGCTACGTAGTGCGTAAAATAATATCCATATACTTGAACAAACCTGAACTGACTTAGGGTATATGATAGAAAAGAAACAGCACAATCTCTAACCCAATTCTTTTATTTAGTTATATTGCTTTGTAAATATTATAAAAACGTATCTGGCATAAAATGCTCTGGAAAGTTGGCATCGCACGCTCTTGAAACATAAAAATATACTTTTGATAAATATATTAGGTTTGTGAGCAAGCATGACGCTGGCTTCTCACAAACCAAACCGTTCACCATTCACCGGCTGCTGCTGAAGTGTAGGGAAAACTTAGGCGAACTCAAGGATATTAGTGGTTTATATTATTCACTTCTATAAAGTTACTCTTATTGTGACAGGTATTTTATGCAAAGCATGAAAATATTCACTCGACATACATGTCTGATATATTGACTTCCTGGGCTTTTGGAGATAGTCCAATACATAGTTATGCCGAACATTATTTTATATCTTGGTTGAATCGCGTTCATTAAAATAATTTTGGAACTAATCCTTGTGCCAGGACAACCTTAAAGGATAGCTTTGAAAAATTACGATATTCAGGTAATATATAGCTTTAAATATTGCACCAGAAATTATTTCTGGATTGACACTGTGACCCTGAAAAAATCGGGCAGAAGTTTTCGGGATGCATACAGATCTTTTAATTTTCTGACGACGTCACTCGCCCTGTTAATTTGATCCTCCCGCTTACTTCAACCCAGATCGAGTATTGTACTTGTGCATAGCATTCCTCCAGATGTGTGTTGCAGCAGTTTTCAACGCATCCAAGCTAGTCTCATCGTCGTCCTGCATCACACATGTCAACTGTCATTCACGAGGTCGAAGCAAGTCGCTTATCGAAACCAGCCCCGAATCAGTTCCTCTGGTAGTGTGCTCTTGTCAAGAGTGTTCGACATCGTGGAACGCTGACTTGATGGAAGATTCCGGCCGAACCCTGTGAGGGGCGAGTCCCTTTTGCGTAAGGCGCACTTCGAGGAAGTGCATCAGTGTGGTCATGCCGTGAAGTTAACGTGGTTCCGTATCCAGTCCATGTACGATGGAGTCCTTGTGTACACTCCCGGGAAGTTGGGGCTGGCACACGAGTGGCCGAACGAGACGATGCCCACTAGCGTCCATCGCTTCTTCTCGTCCAGGTACATGAGTGGTCCGCCAGAATCACCCTGCGCGCGCATCGAAATCGAAGCTGTTACCTCCAGAGGACAAAATCGTTTATTCTGCATGTATTCACCGGCAACCTAACAAACGAAGGCCCTGTATTTATATCTTCATGTTTCCTGATTGGTTCTTTGGCATTTTTATTGGCCGATTCCTCAAACTCGGTGACTGCTGAGTGAATATGCGGAGAGCAAGTCGTCTGCTTCTTGCGCAGGAGTTGCGCAAGAAGCTCTGATTTGCTCCGACTGGAAAGATACCGGGTAGACCTCAATGCTACCTGCCTTCTACCAGCTCTACCCACTATCCTTCCAATCGGAGCCAATCAGAGCTCAGCGTTCTGACGTCACCGCAAGCCCCGGTGCAAGAGGCAGACGAACTTGCGCTCCGCATAGCCTTCCTTATTCGTTTGTTGTGAGGAAGGGGCGCTTCCTTCTCTCCAGTTCACAGATTATTCACGCATAAGACGTGATAGGTAAATAAAGGAAACATTGGAATTGTTCCATGAGCGCGAGGACTAGTCCAGGCCTCTGCAAGGAGGCGCGTCTTTATAAGATGGTTTTAGCCTTAGAAAAATAGAAATTATGAGTATGAATTAAACTTTACGCTCAAAGTTGAATAAAATACTGCCGTCTCCAACAAGACGGGCACCCGCAAGAGCACAAGAAAACCTTTGGTATTATCATCGATAAAAGTAAGACTCACAAAAGAGCGTCACAAGAACTTGGTAACGGGTAAAAGGAAAATAAATAAAGGCTTATGATTGACGTAAAAAAATAACGAATAAAAATGAAGGAAAGTATGCTGTCGAGACCAGTTTTAACGAAGTCGGTTGTAACAAAATAGCGGCTACAGCGAAGCGATTACCATTTAACGTTATTGTTTACACATTTTCAATGGATTTGTGTCTGTTTTTAGCGAAGGAATTTGAGCGGCTCCCGCGGATATAGTGAAGAGAAATATTGTGATAATATAAAGAAAATAATAAAATTCGAAAAGTTTTTCAAATCTCAGACCGCCGCACTTTGCTGTCGCGGCCGAGCGGCCACCCAGATCGGGCCGCAGGAGAGGCTGCAAAGGCTGCCGGCAGCCTCTGCATTGTCGTCTGCTCGGCGGCGCTTTCCCGCGTCGCACGCGGGGAAACCGTCGTGGCATACCGACAGGGGCGTTCGGAGCGCTAGAACGCTAGCGACAACGTACTGGCGGAGATGACGGAGAGAGCCTAGCTGTAAAAGAGGGAGAAACTCCAACCGTTGAGAGCATTCGCCATTTAGTGCAGACGCCTCCTGGGAAGATTGGGGCAAGTACGCCTGCGTTTGGTTCTCGCGTGGCCAGTTTGGCGAGGAAACTGGGCGTATAGAGGCGGCCACATTTGCAGGAGGTGAACGCTTTTGAGTTTTGACTCCTTGCATGCTGCAGCTCGGTTTGCAAAAGCGGCCCACAAACCACGTGATTTGGATAGAGCAGTTCTCCCCCCTTAAATCTAGTCTTTCTATACCTACGAAAGACGAGCTTGAGAGCGAACTCGGTGCCGTGCGCGCTTATTGTTTGCTTAGTGTTCCGTGTCGGCGACGCTGGTCGGTGTGGTCGCTCTTGCGCGAAAGTATAGCTTCGCTCAAGCACCGATTTGGACAATCATCGACATTCAACGATGGAGAGTCCGGGCACCGCCGGCATCTCGACGAGGAAGACGAAGGTAATCTCCGCGAAACAAAAACATGCCATCCTTGACGAAGTGCTCATGAACCTAAAGAATGCCGTCCACCACCGGCGTCCTCCGCGGCGGCCGTCGCAGGTGTCGACACGGGCAGTATCGTAGCTCGCATGATTTTTTCTTGATAGGAGCTTCTCGCAGTTGACAAGCAGCGGCTCCGATTTCGCAGAAAGCGAGTGCAGCGAATCCTCGACCGATTTCTCCAGGCAGGTAAACATGTGCCGGCGACAACACGATTTTTTTTTTTTTTTACTTTTATGATTTTAGATATAACGTAGAAGCAGATATAGCGAAGAGATTTCAAATACCCGTTGACTTCGTTGTAACCAGTCTTGACAGTAATCAATCCTGGTTGTTTTCCCAAATAATATTCCCAGAAGGAAAAGTGTCATAAGAAGTTGCCAAGCTCGAGAATCCAAAGTAAACACTAGGTTCACCTGGCACGCGTCGACGCCACCCTCCCTGCGTCCCGCGCAGAGTTGGGCTGGTACAATGCCCTTGTCGATGTGCTGAGAATGAAGCGGGTCAAACACTTTCTTGCATTCCGCGTTGGACCAAATCGGGAGCTCCACTTCGCGGAGCTCTTTGCTGCTAGGTCCCCCTGCAAAGAAGTATCAGCATTCAATTTACTCCACGTAAGTTCGGAATACAGCATCAAAGACCTCAAATCGAAACTAAAGAAATTTGGCCATATATACGCCAAACGTTATGGTATCCCTAGTCATGCTAAAGAGATCAGTGGGTGGAAATGTCTGTTCTTGCTATATAATTATAAGCAAAAAGTTATAACGACGATTTTTATCGCCATATAATCTCCTGTGAAAAATATATGAGCGGACTTTTTTGGACGCCGCCTGGATTCTAAAAAAAATCCTCAATGTGACAATCGATGTGACATTCAATTTTCAGCATTTGTGTAGTATAGTCAGAAGCTTCGTTTCCTCACAAGCAGCATTGCGAAGAAAACGACTAAGGGATTACCGAATTTGGTCGATCCCCATCCGATGACGTGTGCCACCTTCTCGGCGAGCTGTCTGCTGGCGTAAGAGGGCGTGGGCAGGCAGATGGGCATAAAGGGTCGCAGCAGGTCCCTATCGAAGCGCACCGCCGCGATGTCGTAGTAATGCGAGTAGCTGCTGTACTTCTCGTGGATCACGATCTTCTCTACGATACGCTCCAGGGTCCTTCCGGGCCGGGGCGAGAAAAACACCACCCGGTAGTTCTGGGCCCGCCTGCACATGGAAAGAACACAGGTTATCACGTGGCTGCCTGTCTGGAGTAAGCAAACTGTGCTTGCAATCAAAGTGTATAAAACTAGGCAGTCCGCAAGTAAAAATGTCGATCTATGTGCACGTATGAGGGTGAATAAAGATACGAATCTCTGTTCGAATGTTTTTTTGAAAGTCAGGACCACTCTATGCAGATTCGTGCTCGTCTCTCTAGTGCCATGGAACCGCAGCTTTTCATCATCAAAGTTGAACTAATAAAGCTATCTGATTGATTGATTGATTGATTGATTGACTGATTGATCGATCGATTGAAGTACACAAGAGAATACTGAGTGACACAAGTATAAGTCACGTCAGGGTGCTTCTATGACGTAAAATACTAGCCTATGGTCTTTTATAGTTAAAAGAAAATTGAAAATGCATTAAGCTGCAGGGTATTATTCCTGGGTGGTATTTAGCTAGAACTGAATACAATTACTGAACGGTACCCAGTTTTAAGCAGACATAATTGCTTTACCAAAGCTGAAAGCTGGGCTAATTGGTGTAGGCTAAACATAATGTACGTAATACAACGCAGAACGACAAAGACAAGTAACAACCAAGACGGGACAGGCGCTGCGCCTGTTCCGTCTTGGTTGTTCTTTCCTTCTTGTCTTTGTCGTTCTACGCTGTTTTACCTACATTATGTTTAGCCGCAGTTCCTTTACTGTTAACCAGCTGAAAGAGTTTGCCCTAAGGACAAACCTTCAATTTGAATTATAATTTTTCATCTAAGGACTGGAAGGTCTGAGATGAACTAATTATGATAACAGCTCGGGATACCTACGGTACCCCGCCTACGAATGCTAAGGATGAAGAGCATCGTAGCATTCCTATTCAAAAATCTAATTTGTATGAGAAAGTTCTGTGTCCAATAAACACATATTAATTATACAAGATATATAAGAACACATAAAAACATATAAGAGCCATAGAAGAACTATATAAGAACTATATAAGACATATAAATCATATAGAAACAATATAAGAAAGTCGTGAGAAGTCTCTTATAAGTTTCTTATATTGTTCTTATATAACTTATATAGATCTTATATAGTCCTTATATAGTCCTTATATGGCTCTTATATGTTGTTATATATCTTGTATGATTCATATGTGTTTATTGGGCACAAGAAATCTATCATACAAATGGCTTTTTCACTAGGGATACTCTTCCACAAAGTACACCACAGTTCCCCGGAGCTAAAAAGAGATGATATTAAATGTCTACATCTAGTGAAATAAATAAGGCGACGTAATTAACAGACAAAACCGAGCTGTTGATTCGTGGTGGGAAAGAGACGTGGTATGGTTGAGGGGGAGAATGAAAAAGCACTAAGTTTTCATATCGAGTTTTGGCTGATTACAAGTAATACTTACTCGGGAACTGGACTGAAACAATGTGCGGCTGTGAGCATATAGCGCGAAGAGATGATACTGCCGCCACACAAAAACTTGTACGTCACCTCATCCGGGTTCAGTACTTCGAGTTTGGCCTGAAGAAAAGAAATAGAGTATCTTAGTCATCAAAATTTTTCATAGTGAAATATGTAGCTGCAATTTTGCTTAGCTTCTTTGCGTCAAAGAAGTTACAAGGTTTTATCAAAAACGTTTGCTTCAAAAACTCAAAATAAAAGAAAAGAAAAGTATTATAACACACGGTCAAATGTAAAAAAGAATTAAATCATAAATAAGTTGAAACTACATCAACGCAAGCAAATTTATGATTTCTTAAAAGCCTGCATAGTGAATGTGTTTTCTGCTGAGAATTGCAAAAACTGGTGCGTACGAGAAAAGAGACTTAGAAAACAAACGGGCTAATGGCGCAGGAAGGGGACAGACAAATACAGCCTTTTAAGGAGTGAAAACACCTGCCACTGGAACGTTGGTGCTCCAGCAAGATAACATAAACCGTGATTATTGTTTCTCGGGAGCGTCGCATAAACAGTATTTCTACTGACCTCAGGTTAATACGCGAAGTTTTATTTAACCAGAGACTATACTTAACAGTAATTGAGCAAATCCATATTCTTGAATATTGCTACAAACTCTCGCAACGATGAAGAAGATGTCTGAATAAAAGCTGCAAACTAAATTTTAGTTTATATTATTTCCAAGTGCTGCGGTACTGAGTTGGGTTAGATAACAGTGATATACACGCAAAACTAATACATGACATTGCCACGCTTGAATTTCAACAAGATCAAACCCTCTCGAGGCTACTTTTTTAAAATCCTATATGTTCATTTCTTCATATATCTTGACAATTTGTATTTACCAGCACGGTAACTTAATTAAAAGTATATATAAATGTACCATCCAGGGCCAACTCCTGTGCGTCGTCACATTGCCTCCGACGATGAAGGGCACAGTCTGGTAATCACTCTTGGTATCTTCCGCAAATGCCAGGCTCCGAACACCGCACACTGCAATGGTTAATCATAATTGAAACCTTGGTTAAAAAGCTAAAATCAATTAAGTTTTGTTAACTTAAGAGCAAGGTATGTCCTACTCACGACAACGCAATACAAATTAATATAGTGTTCACCCAAGCTACCTTTCGTAAGACCGGAAAAACCCCTAATAATCAATGTACAGCGCGGAAATACCTATATGAAATTTCTTCCTGGTTGCTAATGGCATAAACGTCACGCTGTTGCAATTCGTAGGCACTCAAATGGAGTAGACAATTGCTTTTATAATAAATGAAAATATGGTACATGTGCTTTAGGAATAGAAAATACAAAAGAGCAAACAATAATTTATATTCCGCTTTGTAATTTTGATGCAAAACAAAAACAAAACAGCTAACCTAGTCTAATTCAGGTCAAGGTGTCCGCCATCTGATGAATGCCTATATATTGACGTGTAAGTTTGTCACGCGACGCCGTTTTTGTGCCCAACCTACACAGCAAGAGTGTAACAAGCCTACTGACCCTATGAGCTTGGCACAAAGACGCGGACTTTTTTGACACAAAACAGGGTCTGCCTGGCAGAATATATTAAACATCCTAATTAGCATAAAAGGCATGATTAACTGAGCCTGTTATTGCCCTGTGACCGACCGAGCATATGTCGCTTGCGTGCATGGTGAATTCATTGCAGTTTGTCTACGCGTCACTATATACCTCAACATATACAGCTTCAGAGAGGTTCTTTTTTGTTAAGAGTACATAGATTTATAAGCAAACCTACGCGGCATTAGGCTTCTCAGTCCTAAATCAGAATAAATCGAGCGTTTCTTAGACAGTACGGAAATATAATTGTTAGGTGGTTGATAAGTAATTCTGAGATGAACTTTGGGTTTTGTAACCTATTTAGAATAAGTGAGTAGGTTGTATTCACACAACCGAAAATATATATTTATACATCTGTGTCCTGGATGCTTTCAACACGTTGAAAGTGATTAATAGTCTATGTTGAAACGACAGGTGCAGTTTCGCGTTTTCTTAATTGTATGTTTTGTTACCTAATTTGTGTCAAAACGCCTCGATAATGCTTTCAGTATGCTAGTCATTATTAAAACAGTTTTATGTGTTTTTTTTAGGTGTTAACCTCTACACCGTACGATAATGCACCTTGAGTTATGAAGCTACGTCAATACATGAGAGAACATTTTCAAACTCGTCCGTATGCAAAATGTTTCGAAGTTATCGCATGTTGAACATGATTGTAAACCTAAAACTGGGGCAGAAAAAATATCTTTTCTGCCCCAGTCTCAGGTTTACAATCATGTTCAACTTACACCAGCTCGCCTGCACTCTGACTATTTTTTCGTTATTGCATGTCTACTCGCTAATGACGGAAGCATCGTTCAATATTTGTGTGCTGCCTCTGCTTTAGCACTGGTGCATATTTATTCATGGAACAGGACAAAGTGTGAATTGCGACCAGTTCCCGTGTCATGAAGAAAGTGATTGCCCTCTACGAACGCAAAATCACTTGCAAGTAACTCAAATCGACGTCCTTTCTTACGAAATGCTTCTTCTGTTCTAAAATCTGCTCGAGCGGGTTTCTTCATTTTAAACTTTGAAAATCCGGGTACGTTTAGACTGGTGGTTTTATTTCGTGATGAGCGGCGAATTGGTTTGTACTTCGAATTTTCGATCACAATTATTTTAGTTTTAGGTTCACGTGTACAGGACCGTTTGGTGGTGTGGTAGTTTTTGGTATCTCTCAAATTTCGGGAGGAATAGCACTAGTTCTTCGGTACGGAGCACAGAATGCCAAAGCACGTATTTCGCGTTTCGTTATGTTCTCTAAGACACGTACGTTGCGTGCCTGAAGCATGTGGTCAGGAATGCTGCCACGGGCGGCTAGAAGTCGAGACAGGTTGCGTAAGTGCAAAAGGGAATGTTCTGCTCAGCTTTTTTTTTTCGCCTTTCCGGATGCGAATCAGCTGCGACGTAGAATGGCTGCACTCCAAACCATTCCGTACTTTCGATAAATTAGAAAGGTGGAGCAAATTAGGAATTAATTCGGAGCTACCAAAGACGTAGGAAAATACGTTGCTGAGAGTATAAATATTGGCGGACAAACCGCCCTATCAGAAACATATAATTGGAACCAATATGCTGAATCAAGAAAAAAGAACAGCTGGACTCTTAGAAGAAAAAAAAAACGGCGGAACTGTACCTCTGATAACGATAGGGCAGTTACAAGATTCGACCATTCTCTTCACGAAACAAATTATCAGTCCTGTGTTATTCTACAGTACAGTCACAACGGTAGCTGCGAAAAGTCTCGGCGAATAGACCTTTTGCTAGATTACCCGAACTCAAGGAGCGTGGCTTGAGTGTAGTTACATGCGCTGCGCATACTGCCTTCTGCTGCAGTAACTGTTCTAGAGTAAAACTTGAAAACAAATGGCGCTTTGCACGCGCGCTCATCGACGCCTTAATATGGTTGTTTACTTCGAATATTTAATACAGATAAGGTGAACGCCTGGAACGCGTGTGCCTACGTTCCCAGCACCCTTTTTGATGCTTGGGTAATTTAGCAAAAGGTCTATTCGTTGGGTCTCGGCGTCGCGTTCAAAACAAAATATAAATGTGATGAGTATCGGACCACAGAGAAAACGCAAGCACATAACGTGAAGATTTTGTGAAAACTCTGTATGCCATTTGGTGCGCACTGGCCGGCGTTCGGAACGCGCTGCATTCCACACGCGCTCTCCGCTCGTGAGGGTCGACGCCGCCACATAGCTTCCCCCTCCAGAGAAGGAGACGCTCCTCTCCGCTCGATTCCAAACGCTTTTTATTAATTTTTTTCCGGAGTGCGTGAAAGCATGTTTCCCGACACAAGTTCTTACCAATGACAATGTTACGGCGGCATCCTTTTATCGCTATTTTTTTTTTTCTATTTTTCCAGGCAGCGCGAGCAGTGGGCATCGGGTACACAAAACCAGCAAGTTTAATGTGGCTTCTGTGGCTTAGCTGAGTGGTGATTCCTTCGCTTCACACGCATCGGACCCAGGTTCGGTTCCCGCGGGTGGCGGTGGCGGCGGCGGCGGGCAATATTTTCTTTTTAGATTTTGAAACATCGATGAAAGACGCCCTACATCGCCAAATGCAACATCAATAACTGCAACTACAACATCAACAACGAACGTCATTTCCAGTGGTTGGAAGAGACCCCCAAAGCCATTGCTGTAAACGTCTGCAAGCTGACGTTTTCTAGAGAACACAAAGACAGCTTGTCATGACTAGCAACAGAAGGATCCCAGCAAATGGCGAAGCTTAAAATTGCAATTAGACACAAAAGAAAAATGCAATGTGCACAAGAACAGTGAGCAAGCGAAATGTCATGCTCGTTAACCGGGGCCCATTATATTTTTGTTGTTGTCTGTAATTGTATTTTGAGCTTTTTTTTTTTTTTCTAAATCCGCTGGGATTTTTTTGTTATTCGCCGTGATTGGCTATGACGTGTTCCGCAGTTAAGTAAACTCACATATATACATTCTTTTCCCAGCGAGGGTTGCAGTTCCGGCACGAGATGACGTCAAACTCCGGTGACCACCATGCTCGTGGTAGAAGTAACTTCTATGGTCCCTGACATGCTAAGAGACGCAGGGCGTGGTTATTATGTTGGCACTTCTTGCTTTGTAAATTGTTTTTCTACCTTATTATTGGCTAATGCCTCAATCTCACTTGGCTTCGGAGTGATGATAAGCTGCCTGAGACTTGCCGCCGCCTCATGTTTCTTAAGCTCTCAGTGACCGAAATTGTTGTGTTTTCAAATAAAGAAAAAGCATAATAAATTGCAGCGCACTTAACTGCAAAAATCACTCGCGGAAAAAAAAAAAGAGGAGAGCGACGGTTTCTGCTATGGAGACCACTTTTACTGTTACGTCGGTGTTCCACGCGAGCGAACGAGGGGCCCTCAGCCCCAGTGATGCGTCCACTTCTTGTCAGAAAGCTCGTTAGGATTTCTTGGCTGTTTGAGTTCGGACAAACAGTACTTTTGCGGCCTGATTCGTGCCATACTGTTGACATCTTTTTATGCGGGAACCAAACGCTATAACGTAATGCCAAATATTTTACCTGGCCAATGAGAACTTCTTTTTTTTTTTTTTTGACTAAACGGCTAAAGGAAAGAAAGCAACCCTACCTTTTATCGTTAGATTTTGCGAGCAATTTTGGAGGATTTTAGTGTTTTAATTTTGTGTCCTTAGAAGCAAACTTATCTCGCCGACAAGAAAGCCCTTCAAGCTAAAACATTTCACCTACAGTTAACCGATTATTTCGGTTACAGTTCGCTCACTTAACAACAACCGTGAGCTTTAGCCACAATGCATCCCATCGTGATCTTTGGAGACTATCCTGATGTCGCCGGCACACCCTTCTTAGCGAATTCAGTATAATCGCCCTGGTCAATAGGCATGTTACTGAAAATTTACACGTTCAAACCCACACCAAGGCAAGCCATGTTCCATACTGGACTGCAAGCAGCATGACGCGAATACCCCCTTCCTAGCGTTATGTTACATACAAATCATAAATACCTGACACTCAAATGAAATAGGTACTCAATGTTTTTGTTGTAAATATGATCCCGCAGAAACGCCATATCGAATAATTGGTTCTGTGAGCAATGTCACGTATATTAATTCTTATTATGTTTATATTAGTCTAATTTTAAGTTATCATATAAATTAAAACAAGGTTGAAACCACGCGCTACGTCACGTGAAAAGCTTGCCCAGCGAGCAAGCAACAGAAACCACTTTGCATACGATCAATCCAACATAAAGTACCCGGGTGATAAGGGCATATTTCTGTGCACTATGAAAATACCTGCCTAGTGGTAAGCATGCTTACATTCGGGTTCCATAACTCTCCGGGGACTAAGGCTATTCACCCATTCGATAGAATGTACTTACGTGGCTGCAATGCCCTCAGGTTGTTAGGGTCCCCATCTTCAGGACCAACATCTATGGGTACCGGTCCGGAGACATCCCCTACTGGCGGTTGAACTGGCCGCGTAGGTTGAGGCGGGTTGGGCTGCGGCTGCGGCTGAGGCGGCTGCTGCGGCTGGGGTTGAGGTTGAGCATTCGGATAATCCTCAGGGGGTGGCGGGGGCCGATTTGGCCGAGGTCTTTGGCGGGGTCTTCCTTCTTCTTGAGAAGGTAGGCCATCGTCGGGAGGATATCCGTCCTGCGGGAAGCGGTCCTTAGGTGGCGGACCCCCAGGCCTGTCTGGACGCGGCCTTTCGAATCCAGAATGGGGGTCTACCTCTTCGGGGTAGGGTCGGTTTGGCCTTTGTGGCCCCCCGTCGTAATCGTCGTAGTCGCCTCCCCACCTGTCCCCGCCTCCACCTCCGTGCCCACCTCGGGGTCCCCCTCCGTGTCCCCCTCCGTGTCCACCTCCGTGTCCCCCTCCACGCCCTCCGCCCCGTCCCCCTCCGTGGCCTCCACCACGACCCCTCCCCCTCCCACGACCTCCTTTTCTATGCTTGCCGCCACCACCTCCACCCCTCTTGGCATGCCCTGGAGGAACGCCACCATGGCCGGGAGGGATGAACCCGCCGTCATCTTGAAGAAACGGAGGGTCCCGAGGAAATCCTGCAAAGACGGGCACACACGGCTCGTTGAAGAGGATATTTCTACCACGTCATCCTCAGTGCGTCTTGATTTTGACTTATAGCCGTGAAAGCGTTGTCTGATTTTATACCCTCACCCGGGAGCCAAGGTGGTCCCCTGGGCGGTCCTGAAAGGATATGTGCAGATCTTTGAGCATACTCCTTCATGAATTCCGTAATATTTTCCCTAATGACAGGTGTAAGTATAAGGTTGTATCTGATATCCTAAAGGCTTAAGCTTTAAATTAGAAGGTGCCGCAAGCGCCTGACCTTATGCCCTTACCCGGGTGCCACGGTGGTCGCCCAGGCCCAGGGGGCCCTGAAAGGATACGAGCAGAGCTTTGAGCACCCTCGATCGTAAATTCCATAATATTTTCTTTAAGAACAAAATGAATATAAGGTGTGCGTCTGAAATTCAGATTTTATGATTTTATGGTACCGTGAGCTACTGACTTTATGCCCTTACCCGGGTGCCATGGCGGTCCCCTAGGCGGCCCTGAAAGGATATGTGCAGATCTTGAGCATACTTTTTTTTTAAACACTGCGTAATATATTTAATAAAAGGAAATGTTATGAGGTGTGCATCTGATATGATAGCCTCACACCTCATATATTATGAATCGGCAGGTCGAACGAACGCATACCCTTTCTCTTAATTTGATTACAGGACGGCATCCTCTTGCAATTCACCCTTTCGATATATGCAGTACGCAAATCTTACACTTCAAACATGGTAAAGAAATAGTCGTTAGTCGTTTATACAGCGGGAGTTTAGTCTGCCAGAACATTGCGACAATTGTTATCCACTGTAATTGGGCCAGTGCAGTACGACTGTTAGCCTGAGGTCTTTAACGTGCATCATGCAGTAGTGATACACGACCGCACGCCGGTGCGATGCTCATCCAGATGGAAACAGGCAGGGGTGGGGATTCAACCCAGGATCCCTGGATTCTGCAGCGCGAGCTTTCGCTCCACGAACACCGAGCTAGTGTGCGCTAGCCCACCCGCCACCGGCCCCCCTCAAACTTGTTTATGCGGCATTACTGATGTCGTTTATAAACTTTTTAGGACGAATAAAATTAACATATTGCCTTTATTTTGATATCGCGTCATGCATTCTCACTCCATGAAGTGTTCGAAAAGCCACGAAATTTGGAACCTCACCGGGCGGCCACGGTGGTCTTCGAGGTGGTCCTGTAAGGACACGTGCAGATGTTTTAGTTCCTTTTTGTATGTGAACGTTAATTGTGAAGTGTTATATGTGCACGTCAGTGGTCAAAACTAGGGTTACGAGACGCAGAACGGGGTTATAAAATAGCGTCAGAGAGTACTTATCTTTTTTAAGCTGGAACATACGCATGAGATTTTCTGGCATGCTGAGGCGATTCTGATAGCAAAAAGTTATCCACGGTTGTTCAAGAACTTTGTATTTCGTGATCAAGCGACGTATACATCAAACGAGTGCAGTCGTTTTTTTTAATGTCTTGCGCCTTTTTTCGTGTATTCTTTTTAAAGGAACAATGAAGGCGATTTTAATTATTTTTTTTTAAATGGTGTTTTTAGGCTTCTTGGGAACCTGGCATACTGCCCAATTTTTGATAGGCATTTGTGACGCATATTTCTGTTCCTACGAAAGAACTGAAGAAACCGAAACTGAACTATCTGCGTTTCTTGTTTTTGGGCCTCCGAAAACGGAGGTGACGTATGGAGTGACGTCACATGTGAATTGTCGGTACCGGCAGCATTTAGTGCGTCGAGACTGGTTACCGCGGTGGGCTATAGCAGCGCGGTGGCGCGGTCGTTTCGTCGGACCAACATGGACGGCAATGCCGCTCTCGCGAGCGAATTCGGGCTCCCGTTCAGTTACCTGACACCAACAGAACGGGAGATGCTCCTAAGGACACGGAACTCTGGATGCCTCTTTACGAGGACGCCCTAGAATTGCCGCCGACCCAGAGTGATTCGCCTCACACCTACGCCCAGACTCCGGCTAACCTGAAGGTTCTGTTCAAAGTCTCCTGATCGAAAACGTAGCGAACAAATTCTGACGCCATCGCCGAGACCTCTGCGCAAGACAACGCTGTTCAACCAGAGACTTCGCAATGCTTCATCGCTTGGGAGTAGGTAAAAATTAGCGTCGCCCGAACGATCACGGGTCTTCAGTCGACCGTTTGAAGATCCTTCAACTGCGCACAAATTTGGCATGACTACCGCTTTGCAGAATCCCTCGAGTGCCGTGTTCCTAAAGTAAACATGGCACCGACATCTGAAACCAGAACCAAAAAAACTCCCGCGTGCTTCGCGCTGTGTTCTTCATTTTGTATATTTTGTTTTCCCATAGTTGCTCGTTGCCCGTTTCGCGTGCAGTGTAGCAAAGAGAAAAATAAATATGGTGTTTTGTTTACGGTTTAGTTATCATTTTCGGTTCGATTTATAGTTTTCATGGTTATTCAAGTGGAATTAGAACAGTGTTCATAAAAACCACGAACCAAAGCGTGACCGAGGGCACGTTTCTCGTTTCGACCAATCGCTGACACGTCTCTTGTGACGTCACGCTTCCAGGCCCCGCAGGGTCACGTGACCTCCGCTTCTGCTGGTTTCTCCCGCAATGCTCGGGGCGTCGCCTCGATCGATCCCGGTACGATTATTACCGCGACTGTTTAATTGATTTGCGCGGCACACAAGCGCCGGTTTCGGCTGAAATTTGGGCATCGTGGCCTGAGGCGTGCCGGGAACCCAGTTCAATCGCCAAAAAAATGTCCGAAATTGCCTTCATTGTCCCTTTAAGATTTATCTATCTTTTTTTTTTTTTTAAAGGTCGACCAAGTCGATTTCCTCACCACGGTGCCGTGGTCGTCTTCTGGGCCGTCCTGAAAGGACATGTGACGGGGGTTGATTGTTTGTGTTTTGTTTAATAACATCTTAATAATTAGGTTAGTGAAGTTAGTTGTCGTTAATCAACATGTTCATTGTATAGATGTTATATATTTAATGCGTAATATTGATGGCAAATCAAGTTACCGTCTGCAATAATGGCACACCTTCGTAGGGTTTTTTCGCAGTCCACACGCATGGTATTATGAATGGTACAATTGAGATACCCGGACCTTCCGCCTGGCTTCTTGTTTACAAATTAGTATTTGCTAGAATGCATTCATGCCTAAAATAGTTCAAGTTAGCATCCTCACCGGGAGGCCCCGGAGGTCTCCATGGCGGCCCTGTAAGGACATATACAGGGCAGTTTAGAGGATATTTTCTAAACTCAAGCACTTAGTACTAACTTGGGTGTTGGGAGGTGATAAAAAAATCATCAGGATTGAATCGACGAAGAAAAGAAGTGTTTGTTATCTGCCAATGTTGCGTCGTTCTGCGACTTAACCACCCCCGATTCTGTATCCCATTCCCCTTGAAGACAGGACATCAGGCAGTGAGGGGGTATGTTATGGAGCTGCTAGGGAGCCTAATGTTTATATTGTTTGTCACACTACAAAAGATATCCAAGCGTCCTTGCATCGCAAATATTTGATACCGCGGTCTAACATGTTTCTCTCTACATGATGTCTCAGCCTGACTAAAGCAAAGTTTTTTTTTTCTTTCTAATTTTAGACGGGTACCTTGCGAAGGCGTTTGAAATATTGAAATAGTACTGCAGCGCTGTTGAACCTCTTAATATGAGGTCCTACCGCGGCTTGTTATCGCTTATCAGTTGAGAGCGACTAAGTAGATGTCCTCACCGGGATGCCACGGAGGTCTCCTGGGTAATCCTGCAAGGACATGCACAATAACGTTGAGAGAATATAAAGGGATAATAAACTGCTTATTTTCTTTACACTACTCAAGGTATACAAAGAGGTGGATGCTGGAAGGGTTGGGAGACTGTAATTCAGAAAGGAAAGAAATGTTTTCTATTAATTTGGCTCGTAAATATCTGCTATCAACAAAGGAAGATTGAGGCAGCTGGGGGAGATTTATGCAGTCGTTGAAGTGTACCAGTTCTTAGCTGCCGATAAGTGGCCCGTTGTAAGTTTCTACAAATGTTTTATTATAAACTATGGTTTTAAGTTTTTATAACAATAATTGGAGGCATTGATGTTCTAGCTTCGTGCGATAGCGGCACGTACTTAGTAATATATAACGTTCGTCGTAGTTTTCTGGCCCCGGTGGAGACAGTTGCATGACTGCATTTTTCCGCGAAAAAGGGAAGCAATCTAAATAATATAACGGTCTCATTGATTATCCTTCTTTCAATACGTTTGCACTGAAATTTTGTTGAATAAAGTTTACGACTTTTTATATTCTTTCGTGAGAAGGGGCGCGCACGTAATTCTTTTTTATGTCTTTGTTCTTAGTGAGGCCGCAACTTGACTCCTCTTCGGGTAGCAACATATTAATGTTTAGTGAATTTGTTCCCTAGCACTAGTGAAACACATACAGATGTAGTTTCACTTGCACCATAAAAACATTGAAGTTCGTCATCTTAACAGAGGAGTTAGCCGTTTGGTAGGCGAAGCTGGAACGCAGGGAAATTGTGAAGCACTGCTACTATTTACCTAGTAGTGAGCAGCGAAGCCATCGTCAGTTAAAATGTTATGCTACAGATAACTGTAAGTGTCGTGTGAGTATGCTCAAAGATCTCACGACTATATTCATGAAGCTCAGTAAGGGTTGCAGACGCTACTGATGTTAAAAAAGGCTGAAGTCAAATGTACTGAAACCGCTAATATTGTTTGTCCTTCCGGAGCACTTCGCGCGCCAACATTATATTGTTCTTTTATTTATTTTTAATTTGACATGAAAAGTGTTCAATTTAAAGAATATTGCCCATGAGTAAAGCCAATTAAATTTTGTTTATGAACAAGGAATCTGGTCAGCCTCAAGAAAGCAGTTGGCATTTTGGCAAGGAGATTGACTCATTCACGACATTAATTATGAAAAAAAAATCTAGAGGTAGATGAACAAGTTCCTCATATTTGAAGCCTGAGTTACCTCACTTATAGGCAAGTTATTTGTACATCAAATTTAGTTTCATATTGATATAATCAGCTATTGCGTCGAAGAAAGAAACAAATGAACGAGGACCAAAGCAGAAAGCACAAGAGAACCAAACCACGGACACTACATGGCACCAGACGTCAAACAGCAGAACACTACGACCCCAAGCGATGTCTTTCCACATGAAGCAGCTGAAGCGTAACCGTGCCAACGACGAGCAGTGCCCTAATAGCCCAGCGTGGACAGGCGAACCAATCAGAGCGCTTGACGAACGCTGAAGCAGCGACAGCAGGGAATGCGACAGCGGTAGAAGCGATGATCCCAGCGGAGCTTCAAAAAACAAAACCACGTACTTTCCTCCTTAACAGAAGCGTCCTGCTGGATTGGGGAATCCGGGACGGCTTCGTTCTCTAAATTTTCATCCTGAACCGGTAAAGGTTTGTGAGACCTTGGAGGTCTAAGGGTTTCTGGACTAAGTCCTGTGAACGATGGCACGACCAAAGGAGCTTTTGTGGTGGTTGTGGCAGGCGGAGGCCCTTCGCCGTTCAGTACTTGCTGTTCCGGGCTGGTCTCGATTCCAGGGACCAGGGGAAGTCCTGGAGGACGTAGTTTAGCTGCTTCAGCTTGCAGCGACGCAATAGCCAGTTTTCTCAGGTGTTCTGGAGACACAGCGGGAACCACACCGACCTTGTCGACCCACTCGCCAAGAGGTGGACCTTGCTGACCAATCTGGTGTGTTCGAAGATGTCCCTCTTGTTGGCCATATCTTTGTACCCACTGTCCCGAACCGTCTTGGTACCATTGCTCTTGGAAACTGCCGCTACTCGTCTGGTACTGAGACCACACGCTCTCGAGAAAGCCTCTTTTCCTACGAACGTTGGTCTCGGGGGTTAGTGTGCGTTGAGTTGTTAGGAGTGGGACATGCCACTCACTGTGCTTGCGCGGTTCTGTAGAGGGTGGAAGCTCGCCCAGGGCTTCGCTGGGGGGAAGGGACTGTGCAGTCAGCGTTGGCGATGGCGCTGAGGGTAACGTGTGCGTCTTAGAAGACTGGGATGCTTGCAGTGCATGTTGCGCTGAAATGGTTAGCAAGAAGATGTTTTTTTATGCCATCAATGATAATTGGTAGACAGTGGCTTTCACATACGTTTGATCAATCGATTGGACAACTTGATTTGTGATGTGGTGGGGTCGGTAGTACCGAGACTGGTTGAATAATTAGCCAATAAAATGAAAGACTGAATTCTTTCTGGGCAGAGTACCCTGAAATCCTGTACAATAAATCAAGTTCTGCAATACGGACAAGCTCACTTGGCAACAGAAAGCTAGCACAAATTATGCAAATCATTCACCGTATTTACTCTAGTAATAGCCGCACTGTTTATGAAGAAAACCTGAAGGTTTGTTTTTCCTCGGAGCACGCAGATCGGCAATCACTGCGACCGACAGCATGATTCCAGCTGTTTACAGGTCAAAGACAACCTCTTCGCGCGAAGATCCCATCTGTGAAGATTGCATTTGTTTGGAGAATCGTGTTTTCGATCTGCTGATTCGCTATGCTATTTATGCGCAACGCAATGATTGGCTGCAAACGTTTTTTTGCGGGAAAGTAGACGCAAGGGCTTTGTTCATAAACAGTGCGGCTATTACTCGAGTAAATACGGTATATAAAATTAGGCATCGTGAGGCTGAAATTTAATATTTTCTCGATATAAAATTGCAAAGTTTTGTGCATTGACGCTTTTTATTTTTAAAAAATGAATAATTTAGTCTTTGACATAGTTTACCAATTTTCAGTTGAATCAGTTCTGTTGTGCTGATGGAGAGGGAAGGGGAAAGCTTTCTTTGCGACCAGCGGACCTCAACATAAGTTTTCTTTCGCATGAGCATCTGATCTTGACTGGGAAATAAAGTGAGGATAACGATTACCTTTCGTGAACATCTTTATGTATATTTAAGCTAACTAAAATGCCAGATTGGTGAACGTTCTGTAAATAGTTGCGTTTCACTTACCTGAATATGTTTCATTGGTTGCAGCTACTTGGTACGTTGAGTGAAGCGTTGCGATTACAAAAATAATTATAAATATGTCTTGAGAAAACAACATGACTTCCTGGAAACGAATGTGAATGCACAAACATTGATAAAAAGTAAAATGATAGGAGAGACTAACAAGTTGCACTACTGCGTAAATGTCTTTTGATTGTGTCATTTGCATGTCCAAGTTTTACCTCTAATTAAAGCTCTGAATTGATTAATATATATTCTCATATATTAAAATAATTCTATTTATGCCCAATCCGAGTGTTTAAGGTTTGTCACGTACAAAATAAGTTATTAAGGGAACCATTAGTTAAAACCATACCAGGCTACCAGTATTTATAGGCTGACATTGACACGCCAACTGTTATTTTTCAAGGTGGACTCAATAAATGGTTTATGTTCAATAAAGCAACCAATAAATTGTTTGCGCGGTTTTCTAGAAAGTATATAATATTTGTTTGCTCACTCTAGCGTCATTTAGACAAACGAGGTGTGAATGACATAAATAGGTGCCCCAAATTTAGCAATCTGAGAGAGCGGGTGATTCGAGGTTTTAAAATTAACAAGTAAAAATATATAGTCAAACTGTGATTTGCAAAGCTGTGACGAATAATGATATTTTATATATAATCCGCTCCTTGCCTCGGCATTGACGAAGTTGTGACGTCTTGCATTTTGATGTAGGCACACCTTGAATGGTTATACTAATGACTAAGTTATTTTCTCCACGTAATTGTGACATTGGATACAGGTAAAATATCAGTTCGTGCAACTTTATTTCTGAGCGACCTAATGTTTTGCGGAAATACAAATATACTTCAGAACGCTAGTATTTAATCTTAATTGAATATTAGATTACGTCACCTAGCAGTAATAAATCGAAAAATGCGAAGGAAACTGGCCAAATAAGTTGGAATTGCCGTAATTTTACAAATATTAGTGCAAATTAAATTTATACAGTGAATGTTTTTTTTATTAGAAGTTTCTAGCAAAAATAAGTATTTTTCTAAAAGTTTAGAAGGATGCCACCTTTTTATTCGACGTGTTATTGTCGTACACAAATGTATCGCCTTCTGTGCTGTCCCACATTGACCAACCGTTTTTACGAACACTCAGAGATGCACAAGGACTGTAAATAAGGGTAATTTGTAGTCTAGATTCTAGGTAGGCGAACATCTTTATACAGCTTCGCACTTTGCAAATAATTCTTTTGTTTGTCTGTGTACTCCTAACTACATCAGTTGTCAAAGAACCCAGGATTTTTGTCCAGAAACATGAGGACTGGCAGACATTCGGGGAGTTGTCCGTCGGCGCATCTTTTCAAAATACACGACTTCATACAGACAAGGCGACAACAGTGGCGCAACAAGGATACAACCGGTTTTTGTGCAGCTTCTACGTGGCTCGCATCGAAGGAGGTGCAATCAAAACAACACAGAAAGGCGTCTATACGGCGCTGAGAAGAACCTCCGTAGACGTCGACCATCTCAAGAACATTAAGACCATTTGAACAATCTTTCCTACAGGTCTGAAGGGTCCCAAGTACTACAAATGGTCCACGTCACTACGCGTCATTAGCGCGTCTGGTACTTCTTTGTTGTGACATTGATTTCAAGTGTATCCTGAAGGTGGTGAACTCTCTGCTGTGGCCGTATATGGGTTGTGGAAAGTCCAGTAGAAATTGAGAAACTGCGTGACAGAAAGCAAAGAAATTTTCTCCGGTCCAGAGTGTCAGGTTAACGCGTTAGCAGAAACTTTCTTCAGTCTATAGTTCATTCATGTTCACTAGCAACACGAGTACTATGTATCAGAGGCAAGAATAACTTCTAGTGTTCTAGTGTTCATGTGAATTGTGTAGAATACAAAGTATGTTAAAATAGGCAACTCTATTGATGTTGAAATTATAAAAAATTGACCTGAAAATAAATTAGGACTCCGCGATTTTTTCACATTTATTAGAACACAGTGCACACCAGCCCAAAATGTCAAGGCTTAAACAACTCCTGCATAGTCTGTTTCGCACTCGCGTTTATATGTTAAGTTAATAACTAACAAATATGGCAGATATCAAGGGAATTATCCATATAATGAACGAATAATAGCTTATTTGTTTTGCTACTTCATTATTGATGCCTTAGTGCCAGCCAAGATAAAAATATGTACATTTATATTTGTATTGCTTAACTAACTGTTACTAGGCCCTGTTTGGCGTCATCAGATACACATGTTGAGACGTGAGGCTCGTTTTGAAACTGTCACTCAGTCATAACTACAGTTATTCCACATAAAACCAATTTCGACGCCGACAAAATTATCAATTCTAGTTTGACTGTTTTGGGATATTTCAATTTACCAAGGTAGTCGTGGTATTTCAAACGTTGACTGTGGGATCATTTAATGTGAATGAAGATAAATTGTGTTCCAACTGTTGGATATTATTTAATATAAATGGGGGAAGACATACATTGTTTTTGACCCAGCAAATTTCGCAGCCGAGTGACAAAGAGTAAACAGTATACAAGATCTTTGCCAGCTAAAATTTCGTTTTGGACTTTCTCTTTGCATATAGTTCATTGAACTTTCTCATTGTTGTTTTGTTTACCCACCCGTTTAACCTATCGTCAGAGTAAGTACCTAAAATGACCATTGATTGTTTAAATATCTGCTTATGGTTATTGTTTAGAGAATTTAACCAAACCTCGAACTGCCATTTTCATTAGATTAAACGGCAAACAAATTAGAACGCCATCATATACTGTTAACAAAAATAATAAAAGATAGAACTAACTTGTAAGATGCTGATCCAATATAAAACTAAAATGGTGGTAATGCAATTTGATACATTCACTTGTCACTGTCATGTACGCCTTTTTATATAAAATAGTTATTATTATATTTCATACCAAAATCATAAAAAGGTCCTAAACCTCAGTTTTCATAGCGTTACGCCTATAATGTATCATTATTAAAAATAAGTACACACGTTTGATTGTATTAGAATGCGGAAGATAGTTTTGCAAGAGCGCCTGTCATTACTTTTTGAAAGATGTTACGACACCATAAATGAATATAAAACAAGAAGGAAGAATAGTGATGCATGTAATGGACATGTTATAAAAATGTATTCTTCCATGAGTTACACACCCTGCACCCCAAGTTCGTGATCTAATTGTGGTGATCTTGTTGCGTGTAATAATTAGTCAAAATTTTAAAGCTTCCAATATACAAACACTTCGCGGTGTACTTTATTTTATTTTTCAGTGAAGTTGATAGCCCTTTATGGCCATCGATAATTAATGAAAAAAAATACATATATTGCAAATTTATACAAAAATATTATCCGTTTTTTCAACCAATGCTGCATATGTGACAACTATTTTTATATCGTTCTTAAATAAAAATATATAAAAATATATTTATAATATACGCGCGTTGAACGTAGAAACGACTTTAAACAATTATTCATAGGAGTGCGTCTCATTTCTGAAGGGTACCTATATAAATTGTGTACACGAAAGTTTAATCAAATAACAAACTATAAAAAAATTATGACACCACGAACTTAGTGTGCTGCTCCAAACAACTGATAGCTACGCAGTTTTCATAATTTATATAGTTTATTGAACTATTCTATTAATATCATTCAAGGCCTTTTGCGTAGTTTTCCTAAGTTGCGGAGGCACCTTCCTTCAGATAATGTACCCTTTTAAAACCCCTTGTAAAGCTCAGAACATACAAATGCAAAAAGAAAAATTTACGGGCATGTTTTAGTCAAACTCTACAGCGATAAGAGAAGACGCGAGAGCTTCTTGTATACATTGACCCTCC